GAAAAAAAATTAACTTAAATGATTTTAGCAAATGGCTGCAATATAACAAAGAGTGAAAAATTGAAGGGGGTCTGAATACTTTCCGTACCCACTATATATATATATATATATATAAGTCACCAAAAGCAAAGCTTATACGCATACAACAGCATGCAGCAGTACAAACATTTCTAGAGTACAAATATAGTGCACAAAATCAGCAACAAGCTTGACGGGCATCTAAAATACAGTATTTTCATGTCATGTTTTGGTTCACAGCAATAACTGAGGCTGCAGGATTGCTTACAGTAGTGTTTGTCATGCAAAATAAATCAGTATCCACATTTATGGAACATAATAACATTGCTTAACTAAATGCACTTTTTTAGATATCAACAATGGCTGACATCTTTCATTGGTGACTCACTGTGAAAGCCAGTCGACAGGCGCTGTAACGGCACAGAAAAGAAATACACTGATGTGTCAAAAAGGCACATATGTTTCAATTGATATCACAATATGTAATGTGATGTTTTAAAAAAGACATTGTAACAAGGAAGAAAAGTGTCTAGGCTACGCTAAATAAAATAGGATTGGTATGTGCTTTTTAGTTTAGATGGCACTGGCACCACTGTGCGCACTCGCCAGAATCCTCAGAGACAATCGAGAGTGCTGACAATTTCCTGGAACACCTACAGAATAAAGAGGGAAAAGACACATTTGATGATGAGAAGACACAAACTGCCATACCTTAATGCATAGAAATATTTTTATATTATTTAACAATAAACTCACCTGTAAGTTTGTGAACAAGTAAGAAAGCGCAATGAAAAGCTTTCGCTCATGTTCACTATATCGCCAGCAATGGATCGCTTGACCTGCATAATCAAAAAGAGGTTCCCTAAGTAGTAATTTCAATTACCTGAAAGTGCAGACTTGAAATGAACATGAACTACTAATTCAAATGATCATATTATTCAAACAAACTAATGAGGCCTACCTTGGACTTTCTGTTGAAATCCACCTGCTGCATCGCCAATGCAGAAGCAGCCCTGCTCAAAGCTGATCTGATCATATTTTTCAATGTTGGCTAACAAAGTGCCATTTACAGGCAGGTATAAAGTGCTGCCATTGGGCTCCCAGCTCTCAGAGTAGAACACACCTCTCTGGCCATCAATCAAGACAAAACCACCTAGAGGTAAGATGATTCACAGGAGTCAAATGAATTACATGTGCGATAACAAGGCAACTGGAACTGCTAAACAACAGACTAATCCTGGTTTAGGTTAATAATTGAAAATGCTTCATGCATATTGAATTAGCAATAGTAGAAAATCAAAATGATATTTATTGCAAAGTACTTACACACACAGGGAATTTGTTTTAGTGTAGCTTCCAGTACACAGACAAAAAAATTGTTTTAAATGATCTACGACAAAATAATCTATATACAGATGAAATTATGCAAGGTATTTTCTGAATGGGATTTACTGCAAAGTATTCGTTACACACAAGGAATTTGTTTTAGCTTCTGTGTAGCTTCTAGTACAAAGGAAAAAATACAACAATAAAATGAATAAAATGTAATAAAATAATAATGAAAATTTTAAAAATAAAATGAAATATATAACATTGACAAAATGGTCTATATATAGATATTTATGCAAGGAATGTGAATAAGAAAGGGACAGGATATGTTAAATTGTCATTTTGTATTATAATTTTTTTTAATTAGTACATTTACATTTAATATGATTTAATTATTTTCTAGGACTTTGAGACCTACGTTGAAAATCTGATTTGTATTAAAACCTGCAACCTATTCTGCACCTTAGTGATGTTACATATGACACTGAAGCTTCAAAGCGCGTATCGGGTAAGCAGCGCAATTCCTCAAGAAGCTCTGTGCCGGTGCATTTTCAGAGAATCACGTGATCAGCAGAAAATGAAGCCTCACTATCTGTCCAATCACGTGCGCGTGTCGGAATGTTCGAAACCCCAGATCTTACTTTAAGAGTAAGTTTTCATTCAGACTTATTCAATTACATTTTTAAATACCCAGCCATACAAGTAATATGAAGAATAAAAACTATTTCAGAAAAAAATATATTTGGTATATGCAATTCATATGTGTACATTATTCTTTTATTACATCATATTGGCATTTAATGCCACAGTTTAATGGGTAAATTATTTTATCAGAGAGAATTTTAACAAACACACACACACACACACACTATTTTCACAGGCTTTTGGCTATATTTTTTATTGACCACCAGATGGCGCTATTTTTGACACTCGCGAAGCTTTGAATCTTTTCCCGAAACAGTCAGAGGAAAGCCTCGGTGCTTCATGGAGAAGGGTCTGGCTGCAGCCTCGCACTTGCATTCTCAGGCTTGCACTCTCAGACTTGCATTCTCAGACACTTGCGCTTCCGCTAGCGACGTCACTTGCGGGCTTTATTTTTTATTTTGTGCTATTTTTTATTACTTTTTGTTCGAATCTCTCAACATTTTACAACAGTAGCCAGGTGGTGAAGACAAGAAAAAAGAAACTAAATTACGAAGTCACTTGCAATGGCCACTTGCACTCTCCGCTACCTGCGACGTCACTTGCAATCGACACAAATCGTGCGTGTTGCCAATGGAGACAAGACCCTGTGGTGATTAAACGATTAAAACTAATTTAGTACTATAACATACAGGGTCCTGCAAGAAAAAGACAAGACCCGCAAATCCGTCGCCACAGAACAGCAGAATATGAACAAGTGACGTCGCTAGCGGAAGCGCAAGTGTCTGAGAGTGCAAGTCTGCAGCTAGACCCTCTTGGGCTTCATGAGGCTTCATTTGCCCATCACTACTGCACCTATAGATTGAGCCCTGTCCTGAGCCAAGAGCCATACTTACGTTTCCTCAAGCTCTCTTTGGAGGAAACCCCTTTAGGACCATCCTCTTCGTGGCCATTTACAGTATTCACATAATTTCGTTTACGTTTACCGGGTAAACAGACGGGCGACGTCTCAGTGAATCCATTAATACATTTCAGGTGCGTCTGGCAAGCGTTACTGGACTGGAGTCCATTGTGCTCCATGATTCACTAAATACACTAATGTGGACTTTTTATGTAAATTACATGCAGCTACAATTTTTGTGCTTTTAAAAATGATTCAGTGCCACAGGATACTAAATACTAAAAGCCATGATATATGTGATAATGTCTGTATAAAATAATTAAAATCAACAATTAAAACAATCACATTATTTAGTAGGCTACACACAGAGGCGATTCACAGCAAACACGCACCAAAAATCATAACACTGAGCCGTGACCAAAAAAAAGTGTTCTTTTTAATATTGCCTGACTAAAATGACATTTTAAATGCTTTTTCTAAAATATATATTAATAATTCGTAGTATATATGCACCTTGAAGTAACATAAAATGTTATTATATTAGGAACGCATTGTTTTTAATTATGTATTGATCGTGATAATGCACGACTTACTATCAGGCACAAAGTAGCTGGCTAATAGCGGGGGTCCTAGAAGCAGGTCCGACTTGACGTATTTTCCTTTTCGCATGCCTTTTGGATTGAATGTGGCTTGGAGTGATCGTTTGAGGCACATATAATCCTCGATTCCAGCTTAAACATGTTTAAAATTGAGGGACTTGGGCCAAAGATGGACCCGGAGGAGATGAAGAAAAAAATGCGCGAGGATGTCATCACGTCTGTTCGCAACTTTTTGATTTATGTTGCGCTTCTGCGAGTCAGTGAGTATCCAGGCGCTTCATGCGTGTAGCAGGTTAGATCAGATGTGCACGTGTGATCGGTTTAAAACTGGAATTATTTATTAATTAATTATTTTTTTATGAGTTTCACGATGCACAATGTGAGTTGTGTTGATTGATGATCTATTCAGCATTTAATGGGGTCCCCATGGCTATGAATGATAGAGGTCACCTTTAAAGTTAGAGACGGTGTATAGTTAGAGCTTATTCAACTATGTGTCAAACAGCAACGTCTCAATGTCAATCAAAAGGTTTATGTTGGTTGAAAATAAGTGGCTTGTTTTTCAGCACCCTATGTTTTGAAGAAGCTGGAGAGCATATGAAACTTCACCATGAACAGAAACATTGCCTGCCAGATGAGCATGGAGGACTCCGCTGTACAGTCACTTACCAAGGCAGTTAATGAAGAGATGATGTAACTTTGTATCATTTATTTTATTTAATATTTTTTTACTGGATGCAATTGAATGTACTTGATTTGTTCTCATCCAATGTCAGTTGAAAACTATGGCAAACAAGATATGTATATTGTCTACCAAAATGTTGTCATGTTCACAATGGTCTAAGCAATAAATCTTTCATCAGTTATTCCCATTGACAGAGTTGTTGAGACTAAAACTTGGATTGGCTTTATAACATTTACTTTGCTTTAATGTAAATTTAAAATCCCAGTACCCATTTATACATTTGGTTTCATTATACTGTGTTATGAGGGTAAAGGCTAAACACGCTACGGACAATTTATGTAATGACTATGACATTTCACATTACATTCAAATCCTGATGTTTAGAAAATGTGGTTTAACGATTTCTTTAACAAAAACTGCTTCTCCAAGAGATGTCAAATACAGGAATTTTCAATAAATCCTTTATTGTTACAAATTAAACACCTATAACATTCATTCTACTTCAGCTTGGAGTGTAAAAGGACGTTTGAGTGTTGACTTTGAATGTGCAATATCACAGTCGAACAAATGTGCATGTTTAGCATATCAAATTGTCATCTCGTTCCAGTCATGACCAAAATTAACCATGTGAGATGATTTTAATACATGTTTAATCCCTTCTATTCTCATCTAGTTAATGCAGTGGATTTAATGGTTAGATATATGAATGCAAAAGTCAGTAGCATACAATGACATAATATGGCATCTAAATTCCAGAGCACTACAGTTTCAGCTCACTGGGCATTTCAGAGCTTGTCAGGCCTGCCAGCAAGTTGTTTGCCGTCAGTTCGCTCATGACACCACGTGTGGAGTAGGTGGCACTGCCGATATGAGGGAGAACCACTGTAAGACAAAGCAAGACTTGAGATAGATAAAGGTTTTTTCTACTATTACATGGCTTTTCATTGGCAAAAAATAACACTATTGAAGTGGATTTGCAATGTACAAGAGCACTAGTGAAATTTAAAAGCTGCTTTTCACTCACCACAGTTTTTAAGGGTTAGCAGTGGGTGGTCGGTGGGCAGAGGTTCAGGGGTTGTAACATCAAGCCCCGCTGCTGCAATCTGACCACTGCTGAGAGCTCCAAACAAGTCCTCTTGATTCACAACCGCCCCTCTAGAGAAAGGAGAATAGAGTATTTTTTCACTTTAGTATTGATTTGAAAAATCGATATCTGCAGAGCAGTTTAAAAGAAAAAAAGAAGAGCCAGTCTACAGAAGAACTGTAATGTTCTTGACAAATATGGGTCAAATATAGCAGTAAAGAATCAAACATGTTCCACTGCTGCTCTGCTTTAACGGTGTGTTTTACCTGCTGGTGTTGATGAAGATTGACGTTTTCTTCATCTTGCAGAAGAAGGTTTTGTCACAAAGGCCTTGAGTGTCAGGAGTCAAAGAACAAGATACCACCACAAAATCACTCTCACCAGAGTGTCTAAAGGCACTGAGTGGAGATAATAAAAGGCAATCATACAATCTTCATATGCCCTCTGAATAGTTTTATTCCATCTGTATTCATATATTGAGTTGCATCAAGCAATTTCTTGTCTTTTCTTACCATATTCCCCATCCATCTCTTGAGCCTGAGGTTTGGGTTGTCTGCCTGTGTACAGCAGTCTCTTCACTCCAAAAGGCTTTAGTTGCCTTGCAATGGCCAAACCTACAAATCACCAATTAAACAAATCTATTAGAGCCAATGTAATTCTCTCTATGATAATGTCTAAACAATTCACCTTCATTGTTTTAACAGCATAAATTGGGCGACATATTCAGTTATCCAGAGAGATCACGTTACATATGGTAACAGGGTGCTTATTTGTAAAGTGACTTGTTTTCACTATGATTGTCATTGAATTTGTCACTTCATTAAAAGAACAGATGGTGTACATAATAGAGCAGATGCATAGGTAGCTTATTTATGGTAGAGAGAGAAAAAATTAATAATTCATAACTGTACCTATGCGGCCCAAACCAATCACCCCAACAGTACTGCCCGAAAGACCATAACCACACAGCCACAGAGGCTTCCATGTACTCCAGCCGCCACTGAGAGAGATGGGAAATGATATGCCAAAAAAACAGATATTACAGGGGTAATGACTCTTTGTTTTTAAAGATTATGCTTATTAAACATTAAAGGGATAGTCCACCCAAAAATGACAATTCTGTCATCATATACTCACCCTTATGTCTTTTTTTTCTTCTGAGGATCACAAAAGAAGATATTTCAAGTAACACTGGTAACCAAACTGTTTAAGTTTCCATTGACTTACATTATGTTTTGCCCAAACAATGGAAGTCAAGAGGAAGCAAAACCGTTTAGTTGCCAACATTCTTCAGAATATCTTCTGTGTTCCTCAGGAGAAAGTGCATAAATGATGACAGAATTTTTATTTTTGGATGGACCATCCCTTTAAGATTGTTGAACATTTGGAATTGATCACTACAAAGCTGTGATATATGACACAATGTATTAGAAAAGGTGTTGGACTGACTTTTTCACCTCCTCTACACCTTCGGGAAGACGTCGGCAAGTGGCCAAGAGCAGAGCCACAGTCAGCTCAGCAGTAGCATCTGTCAAAACATCAGGAGTGTAGCCAACTCTTATCCCTCTGGGGCAAAGAAAGATAGTACATGCGTTTAAATTATATAAACATCCTTACTGTGATCCATCATAATCGATCCACTGTCCATTTTCTCACTTTCTGGGGTCAAATCTAATGGCTTACAGAAATGCAAACTTACCGTTTCTTTATCTCATTTATGGCAAGATGGTCAAATCCCACAGAGAGAGTGCTGATCACTTTCAAGTTGGGTCCTGAGAACATTTAATGTGTGTTGTCAGTATTACCAAATCAGTATCTTCGCCTGCAGTTGTTCTAAAGCGTAACTAGAGATTTGCCTTACCAGCCGCATACAAGACCTCAGCATCAATTTTGTCTGAGAGTAAACAGAGAAGCCCATGAGCACCTGCCACCCCCTTCAGGAGCTCTGCCCGGGGCACAGGCTCATCAGAGTCCCACACTGACAAATTACACCTGCACATAATGGATAACAAGAGGCATTTAATAAACAAAAACTGCTGATAAAATTTGTGCAAGTTGGTTGCAATCATTTACATTTTGTTCTGCTACATTTAATGTAAAATAACAAAGCATGCAATAAAGCTCGTGACCTAACAGTGTGAGACTGTCGGCATGCTACAAGGTCACTGGTGAAACTTTAAATGCAGGAGTGAAGCCAAACTGTATCTGCCTCCGAAACTCCTTGAGGTTCACACATGCTGTTAATGAACACCTTAGCCACCGTAGTTTTGATACGAGCTACTTCATCTCATTAACACTCCAGGGAAAGCATCTCAGACATTGTATAATGCATGCATACGAGATCATAGAAAGTTTCGTACATCCCGGCTTTTTGGAGTATTTTCATGCCCTCCTGCGGAATGCGTCTCGTGACGAACACTTTCAGCATCTGCTGCGCGCTCATCCTGTACAATTAAAGGTGAAACGGATCTGATATATTTCACTACGAAAATGACAACAACAGAAATCCACATACGCTTCCCTATATACATGTGGTAGCACTAAAAAGTAGGTGACAGTGCGGTAAAGTGTCTCTTTCAGCAGGCTTTCGCGCCATCTAGTGGAGCGGGTGGACAGCGCAACTGCGGTTGCTCGTTTTTCTGAGGGCCTTTCTGGCGAAGCTTTGATTGGGATTGAAAATGTACTGTAAATTACGACAGGTACATTAAATATTGTGTTTTTAACCCCAAATGTGTTTTGTTTGTTTGATTGAAAATGTATTTTATTCAGGGTTCATTTGCCTGTATCTGCGTTTTACATATTTTGCTCGTATGACTGTGTTAACTGTACTTAACTGCAGGTTTTTAGGTGTTTATTGGCTTTAGTTCATCGGGAGTGTGGTGAGTGTAAACGGTCAGGGGGTCTGATGGTTGTCATGACCGCGCTGTCTGAATCTCGCGATTTTAACCGGTAAAACACGAACAAACTAAACTAATGCTGATTTACTAGTCAGTATTTAATTCTGTAAAATGTATAAATTACTGACGTCATGCTTTGTGAATATTTCATTCATCATGACAAATTGTCATTCACAGTGTCTGCTGCTGGTGCTTGGTGTAACAAAATGTTATGGCAAGCCGTTTTAGCTTAAAATATTCCAAGCGTTACTCGTCGTAATTGCATTTTTACTAGTAACAAATTAATTAGAGAGCTCTACAATTAAATTCTTACTAGTAACAATGCCAATTAGAGAGCTCTCTAAATCTATTTTAACTAGTTATAACTACAATAAGAGAGCTCTCTAATTAAATTCAATTCTTATTAGTATGAATTGAATTAGAGAGCTCTCTAATTCAGTTCTTACTAGTAACAATTATGAT